TTTATTTCTTTAATATATCTTTATCTTGTTAATCATGGATTTGTCGGTGAGTGTTCATTTTCATCTTTCTTCAATCATTGTCATTAATTTTTAATTTTTACTTAGATTAACGTCTTGTCGTTTGCACATGACCTACCAACCATGTGGATTTGATTGTTTGACGTTGAGAGTGACCACTTTTCTACAGATCCATGTCTTTTATTTGAATTTACTACTGAAGATGGCCCGGATGTTAGGCCGAAACGTATAGTATTTTATATATGACATTTTTTGATTGTTAACGAGAATATATATTGTTTTTTGTGATTTCGCATTGATAACAGCGAGTTTACTCTCATTAGCCTTTTTATTCTTTGTATTTGTTATATATATATATTTTTAACAACCGTTTTGCGAACGTTACAAATGAAACGTTGTGAATGAACTTTTCAGTGAGGTTTTGTATATATTTTACAAACGTTTCACAAATGTTGTAAGTGGAACGTTATACATGAACTTTACAATAACGTTATATGTATGTTATCAAACGTTTCACAAACGTTACAAATGGAACATTACATATGAACAGTAAATGCGTGAGGACATTTCTGGTTGTGGCAACGTTGCGTTAACGACTCTGAAACGACACAGAAAAGGTCGCACAGCTTAAGTATAACGTTATTACAATGTTGCTGGAACAAAATTTTGTTTAGATAGTGAAACACAGGTTAAAAACTTTTAACAATTTCAAACTAGTATCGTTCCTGAGACCGAGTGTCGTTCCTGAAACCGAGCTCGTTCCTTTGATTTCTTAAAAATGGATTCACAAAAATTTTTTTGTATAACTTTAGAAAGTGAGTTAATAGAAAATATAAAATTAATTTTGTAATGTGTACATATAAAACGAATTTTGGATTAATTAGCCTTATAGATCAAAAACCTGAAGTCTCTTGATGTTATATTAAAGTAAGGCAAGTTTATTATGTTTATGTGCTTGACAAAGTTAGAGATTCGTCTTTGTATTAAAAAAATGAAATAAATACTGAAATCAGTCAATCAGGCTGAAACTAGCGGCCAGAACTGGCGGCCGAACGCGCGAAGTGGAAACCTTTGCGACTGCCTCACCGCCACGCTAGACTGTCAATTGTTTTACACGTATAGAGTACTTTCCACGAAGCGGCATATTCCAATATTATTTATAATAGTTGTGGGAATGTTTATGAAAAATATCAAGTCCCTGCGAACATGCTGGAATTGTTTATAACAAAACATAGGCCGAGCACGATCTCTACGTCGTAATACGTCGATATACCAAAGATACGTCGATGATATGTTATTAGTAATCCCTAAGAAAGATATTGAGAGAATATTTGATACCTTTGTTACATCCCACTAAAAATCCCTCTTTCTTCATTATTATAAATATATGATTCATACATTTTCTTTATCTTATTTCTAGTTTGGTATTTCGTCTTAGTCAGATATTCTGTCTCCATTATATCTATATTTCGTAACCGTCCCTTTTATAGAAGGGCCTATCTTAGTTCATAAACATTCAAACAACAGATGACTCACGCTTGCATACTCTTATGCGTCACGTAGATAAAGAATATCTATTTTATAATCTTTTTCCTTCGAAGGCCTTTTTCTAGAAAAATGTTAAACAATAGCATATATGCCTAATAATTAAGTAGTAGTATATGGTAAGATCTTTCCGAATGCGAGGATGAATATCTTTTATTTTTCCTTTTCTTTCTTTTGTCTCTTATTCTTAATGAAACTAAAATCCAAGAGTCATAATATATAAAGTTATAAAATATTTTAACCCAACTTAAAATATACAACATTAATATAATTTAGAACATGTCGTTACATTTCGCCTCGCATAAGGATATTAGTTAAGGAAAATCGAACTTTTATAAATTATTAAAACTCTCGTCTACTAAGATAAGACTAGACTCGTAGTGTCGGGAGTAGGGCTTACGCGGAGCGCTGCTCCCTTATCGTAAGAAAACAAGCGCGAGCATAGGTTCCACCAAATTCTAAAGAATCTTGATTGGTCCTGGACGGACACTCCCACGTTCATTTTTTAGTATAAAAGAGCTGCGAAAAGCAGGAAAACTGCCAGTTGTTAGAAGAAAATTCATCGTTATACCATTAGTCAGTTAAGTCAGTTGTTAGAAGAAAATTCATCATTAACTAGTCAGCCAGTCGTCAGAAGAAACTCTTTAGTTGGAACTATCCTCACGCTTCGCATCTAGACGTAGGTTATTTCTCCTTTTGTGTCATTTATTTTTTTATTTTTTTATTTTGTACTTAATAAACAGAATATAAAAGTTATTCAGCCGAAACCGAAATCTCAACTCTGCGTCTCGTCTAGTAGTACATGAATATCCGAGGAGTTGCTAAGACTGTCGCTGCCAATAGTGTGGCCCCCGTCCTAAGCATTTTTTCGGAGCATTCACAAATTATAGAGGACTGTGTTGTGACTGTCGCTGCCAATGGCGTGGCCCCAGTCTTAGACATTTTTCTCGAAATTAGATAATTTCTTTCGCGTTGCTTCCATGCCTTCAAAAGGTGGACGAAGAGAAAAAGAGAAGAGATTAAGGTTCCAGATCAAAACAGCCTTTAATAAAAATCACGATCCTTTTCCTTATTTCGAAAAACTAGCGCGTCTACTAAACCATAATAAACCATTAGATCCATCTCCCGAACGCAAATATATCCTCAGCCTATTAGAAATTAACCTCACCTTTCCCAATTATAAAACCATCCGAAAAGGCGATCCACGCAGGCTCGCCTACAAACTTCGCGAACTCTTTGGGACCGGGTTCAAAGTCACCCTTCCTAAAAACTATCCTACCCTTCCTCCTAAACATTCCTAATCGCACATCCTGACCTCCAATCCCAGGGTAAATTGCTTAAATGCATTGACCCAAAAATAGGAGAGAATTTCTAAAACCACGACGTTCCGTAACACCTTTAACTCTTATAATGAAAGAATCAACTTTACATTGGAATGCAGCATTGATGGTTGGATAAATTTCTTAGATGTTAAGGTTGGTGTGGAAAATGGCAGAATCCTTTTTGATATTTACAAAAAACCCACGAATTCTGGAAGATATCTAAATTTTTTTTCGAATCATCCAATGTGTCACAAAAAAGGCGTAATAATTTCTTTAATCGATCGTATAATCTTATTGTCGCATCCGAAATTTCATACCAAAAACATCATAGAATTAATCAGAACTTTAATAATTAATGGATACTCTTTGGAATTTTTGATTTCTTCTATCAATAATAGAATTAATAGTTTAAAATATTGTAATAACAATAGAAATAATATAGTTAACAATGGAACTAGAAGAATAAAAAATAATTATTTTATAGTTCCATATCATAAAGATGTCTCAGAAAAATTCAAAAATATCATTAACAATTCAAAAATAAATATTGTCTACAAACCGACTAATAATCTTGGTGGAATCATTAAAACAGGAAAAGATAAACTAAATAAGTTTGATAACACTAACGTTGTCTATAAGATTAACTGTAAGGACTGTGATATGTCTTATGTCGGACAAACGAAAAGAAGGCTTAGAACTCGATTGAAGGAACACAGGGATGATTTGAAGAAATCTAATAATAATTCCGTCGTAAGCAAACATCAATTAAATTGTAAACATGACATAGATTGGGATAACACTGCAATTTTGGACAGTGAACCCGTATATTTTAAAAGAACAATTTCTGAAATGATTCATATTAAGAATCAGATTCACTGTCTAAATTTGCAGAGCGACACTGAAAAATTACCACAAATGTATTTTTCTATCATAACAAACACACACCAAGACTCTATCGCAAATTCTCAGTCTTCGTTTTGATTTTTATTATTTGTATTGGTTTCAAATTCATATACACATAAGATTTATGTCATTACATCTCTGACTTTATTGTTGTAATGTTCGATTTTTCTCTGACGCTTCACTTAAGAATTGACGAATGTTTTAAACGGAACATAGGTAATTCTGAATTGTATTCATTTATAACGAATTTTTCTTTTCTTCATAGTATTATATTAATTTAATTTTTAATTATACAGTCTGCTAACGATGTTTCGTCAAATAAATATTTTGTATTAATCAGAAGGAAATTTAACCATGAAGACAAAAGCGAAGGTAAACTTTTGGATAACGTTGCCAGGAAGAAATAAATATATTAGCGTTGCGGGTTGATGTAAGCGAATTATTATTGATATAGCGTTTTATTTCATTTTATAGTAATTAATTATATACTGAAGATGGTCACATTGTTATGACCGAAACGTTTATAGATTTATGTTGTTGACAATAAATTATTGACTTTAATAAGTTATCACAAACTAGATCTTGTGCGTGGTTTCATGCTTATTTAATTGAAATTTTTGTTTTGAACAATTACATTTTGTTCGATATCTTGAAACGGTGGTGGCTCTTTTGGGATGAAAATTTTGCACAAAATATTTTTTCATTAATGTGTTAATTTTGCCCTTTGTGGCAATCAATTATGTTCTGTGGTCTAAAATCACCTCCTTATCCTGCTATACCCTCTGAAATATAACAAATTCTTAAAAATATTATAAGAAACAAAAATTTTGTTACCAGAGTGATACATGACGCTTTCTCGTCTTGCAATTTTAAAGAGATACACTATATTTTTAATTTCTCTATGCGTATTTATGTTATAAATATCTTCCTTTATTTATTTTATAACATATTCTTTTTCCTGATATATAGCACCTGGAACATACAGTCCAGAAAAGGTGAATTTGGAGAAGGGCCCTCAGTACAGTTTAACCGGCAAAAACCGAATAGAGAAATGCAATGATACACCAGGTATATGAAAATTCATGTATTTATTTTACGATTCTCGATAATTTTTCTAAGAAAAATGCAACAGAAATTTTTTTCAACAGCACCGGGTGCGTATTGCCCTGAGAAAGTAAAATTAGATCCATCACCGAAGTTCAGTTTTGGATTAAAGCCTACTGTGGAGAAACCGAACGATACACCAGGTACACATAATAAATTGCTTATTATATGCTATACATTTATTATATATTACAAAATTATATGTTACAAAATTATAATTAGTTTTACCATAAATTCCGTTACTAAAGAAATAAATTTATTCCATAACTAAAATAAAAAGCGGAATGGATTATACAATATACATACTCGTTTTATTGAATTAACTAATTATATGTAAAAATAATCGTAACTATATTAAAATATTTAGCTTTTGACTTTATAAATAAGAAATCAAAGCTGAATGTAAGGTCTGTTTTTAAATTTGTTATTTAAAAATGCGCTTTATAGGTACAGTACATGCTTATAAAAGATGTATCACAGATCACAGGTAGATAAAACAAAAGACTAAGACTAATTAGAACTCCATTGCAATCCCAAAATTTCCTTTATAGTACCATAATTTACATATGTTAAAGTATTTCTGAAAATTTTTCCACATATTTATAATAAAAGCAAACACAAATTTTCATTTACTTGCAAGTAGAACTAAAGAATTGACTTTTTTCATTATTAAATTATCACAAAAATTAATTTTTTTATATTTAAAAATACGAGAAAGATTCTAAAAGTTTACGTTTATAAAAATTTTGTATGTTTTATAATTTTAGCTATAAATGAGGAAACAAAAGAGAAAAACTTCATGAAACGATTACCTTTATAATATCTTGGATGCAAGGCATATAATATGTACATATATATTTTTTTACCTTCAAAGTTATGTAATACATATTTAATAACATGTTTTCATAATCATTTTAAAAATCCCAAATAGTTTATTTTTATGTCGAATGCCTTTAACACATGTGTCCAATAATGTACACTCTATATATTTTACAACAATATTATGCACAATTAAGGGGATGCTGGAGTTACCGACGGAACACTCATTCGTATTTCTCGTGCCATTTCGTTTTCCTTATACAGAATAAAAAATCCTTTTCCAGAATAAAAGGGAAAACACAAACAAATGTGGAAAAGTTCAAACCGGTATGAAAATCCCCCAAAATTATCACGTAGATTCTTTCTTCACATATATACAAATAAATGCAAGCATATATCCAAACAAAAAAGACTTTTCCAAATTTGACTAATTTATAAGATTATCATGAGACCTTCAAATTATGATTTTGAAGCTTACAAAAGAAATGGCACGAGAAATACTATTTGAGTGACATAACCTCACATTCAAGCGATATATATAATAGGATATAGCAGAACAAGAAATGTACGTAACGTTTTACTTAATGGCTTATTTAATGTGCGTAATGTTTTACTTAATGTATGTAAATATTTTCTTGATGTATGTAATATTTTAATTGGAATTAAAAATCTGTTTTATCGACATCGATTAAGTTCGACCATCTCTCCAGCATCGCCTTAAAAGTGTTACAATTATTACGTATATATCTATTTTTAGCACCAGGTACTTATAGTCCAGAAAAAATGAATTTAGACAAAGGTCCGCAGTACAGTTTGAGTGGTAAGGGATTCACTGAAAAGCCCATAGATACACCAGGTATATAAAAGTTATAAGAAGATAACAACTACCAAAAAGTTGTATGTAGATATAATAGTATATTGTCATTTTCAGCTCCTGGAACGTATTCTCCGGAAAAAGTAAGATTAGATAATACACCGCAGTATAGTTTCGGAATTAGACATGCCCCGGATAAACCTAGTGATACACCAGGTAATTAAGATTCTATTCATACAGAAGAAGAATAGACTCTTAATGTGTGTATTCACTTTTATTTTGCAGCACCTGGAACTTACAGTCCAGAGAAAGTAAACTTAGATAAAGGACCACAATATAGTTTAACTGGCAAAGGGCCTGCAGAGAAATTTATTGATACACCAGGTATATAAAACTCATAAAATATGTCATTTTTTAAATATATTAATGTATCAATGAATATTCAGCGCCGAGTGCGTATTCGCTTGAGAAAATAAAATTGGATACTACACCGAAATACAGTTTTGGATTTAGAACTCTTTTCGATAAACTTAGTGATATACCAGGTATAATTGACGATTAATTAATTGCTTATTTTATTTAGTTTTTATCTTTATATTTTGTTGTGGTACCTGCAGCACCTGGAACTTATAGCCCAGAAAAGACAAATTTGGATAAAGGACCGCAATACAGTTTAACTGGCAAAGGATCCGTTTTGAAAATTGATGATATTCCTGGTACGTTTTAGATATTTTCTTAAAATGCGATTATGATAGTCTTCATTGTTTATTTTTGTCATAGCACCTGGCACATACAGCCCCGAAAAAATAAATTTGGACAAGGGACCGCAGTACAGTTTAGCCGGAAAAGGAATGCCGGAAAAATTAAACGACAATCCAGGTGAACATCACGTCGTCTTTATAAATTTTTCTCGAGGCACATTTCTTCGACATACTATTAACATACAAAGAAAAAATTTAATGAATAATAATAGATAATGTTAATTTCTGACTGGCTTGCCTATAGGCCCCGCTGATTATAAACCAGAGAAAGCTCTAAATCTGGAACATAAACCTTATTACAGTTTTGGTGATAGAAAAACTTTGGATAAACCTAAAGATACACCAGGTAACGGTGTGGTTTAACCCGCTGTAGATTAATATTGCACTTTTAGTACTTTGTACATAAATGGGCGATGAAAAGAAAATAATAATCGAATAATAAACAATTTGATGTTTTTTTATTGCTGTTGGTAGGTCCAACCAATTATACTCCAGAGAAAATTCTAAGTCTGGAACATAAACCATATTTCAGTTTTGGTAATAGAAAACCCCTTTATAAGTCCCGCGATACACCAGGTAATGGTGTGAATTAACAAGAAATTATCTAATACAATCTAATAATCCGATATAAATAACAATGCAGTAATTACGTAGAACACAAAAAACATTAATTTCTTTTTGCTTTGGTAGGCCCTGATAAATACAATCCAGAAAAAATTCAACATTTGGAACATAAACCTTATTTTAGTTTCGGTAATAGAAAGCCTTTGCATAAGACTAACGATACACCAGGTAATCGGTAGAAATTAATGAAATTTTAATGTTACTAAGTAATAAAAAGGCTCAACATGTATAAAACAATACAAATAAGAAAAAGGGCACAGAGCCAAATATGTTTAACGTACGTATAATTTAAAAAAGACAAACTATATACATATAAAATTTCCAGACGTTTCGACTCCGATCGGGTCATTTTCAATGTATAAAAGTAAAATTTAAATATAAATAAAAAAGTACAATAAATATAAACATTCTTCAATTAAATAATACAAAAATTATAAACAATCTTCATCCAAAATGCATAATTATGGTAAAAATGATGTTGTAAACTGATGTCATAAGAATAAAAAAGATCCTAATAAAAATACAAAATAAAACGGTAATTATTTACATTAGGGGACACCTCACCGATGACCTTGACCTTGACATATGTTGTCAAGATCATGATTCTGAGTAACTTTGCCTTAACAACTAGGCGGCGGTCTCTTATAGTTTCTGAGATATTTAGACTTAAAAGTATAATTTTGTATAATACAAGACAAATGTTCACTTTAGGGGACCCAGCTCCGATGATCTTAACCTTGACATAT